TGGAAGCTCCACCAGACTAATCAGATGGCCATGAAGATCCATGTCTCTCCACACACGCACTGATGTGGGCACTTGTGCTGATATGGGGGTGTTTTTTCCCAGTAAAAGTTTCAACATAGAGGCATTGCTTTCTTCATTACATCCACACATTGCTAAGATCAGCTTTTGATTTGTAGACTTGGTAAATACATTTGGCACTGAAAAACAAAAATTGCCAGACAGCGTTCACTTAATAAATCTTGTTAAGGGAAAGATTGTATGTACAAGAAAAAGCTGTATTCCCCACCCTGTATGTTCCAAAATACGGAGCTTATAATGTTTATAAGTTAATATGTTTATCATGTTTAAATGCATAGCTTCATCTATATACAGTATAGATAAAGAAATTATTTTCTTTTCTTTTTTTTAGCTAAAATAACAGAGGATGCTTAAAACAAATTAACCTGAGAAGCAAAATTCTATAAGCTATAAATGAATAATAAATATATTACCCCACTGGTAATTAGTTAACTTATTACTTGTTTCAATTATCAACCTAAATTATGCTAAATGCTTCTTATTTTCAGTTGTTACCACAGACAGAGAGAGAGACAGACAGGAAGAGGGTAGTGATAAACAAGGGGTTGAAAAATTTAAACCATTTTATTTTTACTTTTATATATAATGAATATTAATGTTACTTCTGTAACTGGCATCAACAGCTTTATAAAATATTGTTAAATCTATTTAAAAATACAGTAATATTTTAATCATTAAATATAAATAATTAATCAAGTTCAATTTGTATATTTAAATATAAAACATTAAATATAAAATTAAATATATATATTTAATATTTCAAATATTTAATAATAAAGGCAGGGTAGGTGATTTGGTTCAAAAACCTTTTTTGTTATGCTGGTTGAAATTCTCTTCACATCCCGATAGCACTCAATAAGTTAAGTGGTCTAAATGTATTTATTTGTATTTATATCGTCTGTGGAAGGCGTAGGACCATAAAATATTCGGCATATCAGATTATTCTGTCCGAACATTACGATAGGCTGTCCTACCTGCCTGTCAACGTATGCATTTGCATACCTCTGTGCACCCTGTTTGCACAGACATGATACGTCATCAGCACATTCCATTATGCTATTGCAGACTGAGCGAGAATGGAAGGCGTTATTATTTTAATATTATGCGCTTTGTACTCTAAGGTTTTCTCATCAGTGAATGAGACTTGAGGTAATCTGACAGTGGTGCATTTAATCCTCCACCAATGCCATCTCTCATCGTGTCGCTAGTTAGCCTCTGGTCTGCTTGTGCGCGTTTATGTGTTTTGGAGGAGGCGTGGCTTTGCAGAGTGATTATGCAGGGAGGGTGGGATCTTGTTTTCAAAGCTAGCTTGCTATTGCTAGCCTTTCCGAAATCACCTGCCTTTAAACATTGAACATTCTTGGTAATAGTTAGTAAGAGATTTTCTTTTCTAAAAACACTGGGAACCATGAAGGTAATCGGTGTTAAGTTTGGCATGAAGACTTTAATGCACAACTAGGAAACGCAAATAGAAACAAATTTGCAAATGCGTTAGAATTTTGACTGATTTTACGCGAGTGCTGTGCTGTTGCACCTGTATGTTTGGATTTCTCCGCGAGTCTCACCACACATACAGAGAGGGTGAACGCGTCTGTTCATTTATCATCCATCATCATTTACATTTAGCTGCATTAGATCTAATTAAACCTGGATCTTTCCACATCGGATGTTCAAGTAATGGCTTCTGATCTGTTTGCAAGTTGATGACAAGCAACAAAAAAAACCAAAGGTTTTTTTTTTTTTTTTTTTATGCTACATCACAAATTAAATTGGTCTATGAAATTATTATTGAAAGCAGTCTGGTAGCAACTATAAAATACTTACTGTCCACTTGATTCAGTGATGAGCTCTTTTGTGTCTCCTTAAACCAACTACGAGTGATTATTTCATCCACTTTTTGAAGTATTTGAGAGCGTTGTGTATTTTGTGTGAGTTGAAGGCGTCCTCCTCCACATTCTGTAGATATTTCTTGAATAAATTCATTTTCAGATTGATGTTTAGCGCTGCGTTTCTCATCATCAGTAGTCAGAATCATTGTGCGCTTCATCGCCTGATCACCAAAGCAGTTCAACACTGAAAGTAACATGTCTCTTTTCTTCTGACTAAAATCATTGTGCTGCAGCACCAGAATGATCATATGAGGTTCTGGAGGAAAAAACTCTGATATTTTTTGTAGTTTGAGTTGTGAGTTGAGCAGGTGAATTGTGTTGATGACAGTGATGTTTCTTCCCTCCACTTTTCCACTTTGCTCCTCTACTTCATCTGGGAATGTTTTCTTTACAAACGCATATTTAAGATTATTATTTAAGATTAAGTTTCCCACTCTGTTGTTTTCTGACACATTCTTCCCCACCAGAACAATCCTCAGATCACTCACTGAAATATGTACACAAATACACCATGTTGTCAAAGGCAGTTGAACAGTCATCACTGTATAATACTGAATCAAATAATAATTTTCTTCAGAATTAACATGAACAATGCAACTGTACATTCATGTAATTACCACTATGCTATCTTTTTTGGACTTACTGTTGGGACGATCACCCCTTGGACTTTGGTCTCTCTTGCGATCACCCCTTGGACTTTCTGCAATAAATAAATAAAATTTAAAAAATTCAGTCAACAGTCTTTAAGTATATCTGCTTCAAAATTCTTATTCTCACAGATTAGTCATTATAATTAAATTAAAATTGTACAAATTCAAAACATGTTGCATTTGTACTCAAAATGGTGCTTTTTTAAATAAGTGAATAGTTAGTAGTAACATAAAATATAAAATAGTAACATCAAATTAAAATAAATAAATGAATAAATAAATCAATAAATCAATCAATAAATAAATAAAAATGCACCTACATTTGGTGTCATCATGTTGTGAATGTCCCAAAGTAATAAACTCAAATTAGTGCCTAGCTACTGCATGTATGAAAGAGAGTAAAAAAAAAAAACACTAAATGCAGATTCAAGCAGTGGACCATTGTTTCAATTTAAAGCAGGCCTGATTGCATTACTTATAATTAAGTTACTTACAATAAGACATTATCTTACAATAAATGTTTGGTAAGAGAGACTTGTAAGATTCATGATTCACAGGTTTTTGATTGAATACAAAAGCAATTTTTGTATTTAGTATTTAGAATTTAGTATTAGATTAAAATAAAATGCATTTAAAAGATTTTTTAAATATTTTCTCTAAAGTGTCTAAAACAGAAGTGAGCATCTCTGTGCCCTAGTTCTTTGAAGGGTGTAGGGCATTACTGTCTTGTTTAAATGTTTGGAACTCCCTTGGCAAAGGGGCTGAATTTACCAAATGTTACTGACGACGCTGTGTGTGCGTACACTGTAAAAAGTAATCATTGAATCTATTTAAGAAAAGCGAGTAAACATAACTGATTTTTACAAATTTGTTGAATTTACTTAATTTGGGAGTCCCTGCGTATGCGCAATGTGAACGTGTACAGGTGATTGGTGACGACGTAAAAATATATATATATAAATACATTTCCCCAATCCCACTATGTGCCCTAATAACTCTAGACCAGTAGGTGGCGGAAGTGCACCAATAGGTGGCGGAAGGTTGGTTTAAACAAAACATCACCAGAAGAAGACAACGAACTGAACTTCAGTGTCGGATCGTGTTTGAAATGTGGCCGCAAGATTATGTACGTTTTTGGTGATCTACTTATAAACTATATTGTCACAGTGTGTGCTATCGTTTTTGAGGAAAAGAAAAGGCAGATTTTATTAGTTTTTACTGACGAGCATTACTGTAACCGTCAGTTAGCGTACTAACGTTAGTTAGCCAGTGGCTTACAAGCTAGATTACAAACTTCGATCTTCCGCTTTACTGCTAGTTATAACATAGCTCAACTGCTGAAAAACTTATTAAAATATGGAAGCTATGGAATATGAAAATTCTCCAATTCCATGTTTCCAGTTAGTATATGCTTATTCACATATGTGTGCTTAATGAAAAATCCTACTTTGCAGTTTTGTGAAACCCTGCACAGAATAAGTAGATATTTATGTGCAATTTTTCTTACAGTGTTAAATTGTTGATTTGATAGCATGCCTAAAAAATAATGACTTGAAGTAACATTGTTTTAAACAAATAAATGCCCTATTGTTGTGCTAACAATCTGTTTTCTGTCTTTGTATTAATAACTTCAAGTTTTGAGTATCAGTTTCCACACATTTGTCTAGTAATGTGAACAAAGCAGACTTGTTAAGAGAACTGTTTTGTTTGAGTTCTGTGCACTAAGCTTAACTTAAATCTCTAAGTTGGCTGAACTTGTCAAATTGAGTTAGCAATACTCAAGTTTTCTGGTAACCTATACATATACATAAGTTGCCTATACAAAGTTACAGTAAGTTTTATTAACTCAAAAATTATAAACTAATTTGCTTGAGAAATTTGAGGCAATCAGTTTCCACAGGTTTTCCAAGTAAGTTCAACTCATTACTTTTTACATTCAGCACTTCCACAGTTGTTGCAAATAAATATTTAGTAGTAGAAGTAGTAGTAGTATTGTATTCAAATGTTGTCTAATTTACTATAAACGTTTTGAAACTAAACTTGCTTACACTGCCTCTTAAACTTCTTAAATCATATTCATCACATGATCACAAATGGAAATAATTTCCTTGAAAACTGTTACACATTTCAAAGGGTTTTTACAGAAACTTACTGGTGTAGCAACATTTTTTTGATTTACAGTCGCAAACTGTACTGTTTTACAGTAAATTACTGTAAAAAAAATCCAATTCATCAGTATACTACTGTAATTCATTCATTTTAATAAAGATTTCATTAGATTTTATAATTTTTTATGTAGAATTCATTTTATTTTTACCCTACATAGGTACTACTGGCATTCAATTAAAACAGACACAATAATTACAAAATATTAAATTCTTTATTTAAAACATAGCATGTATAACACTTAAAAATAGTCTTCCAACGCTGGAACAGTTAATCTTCACCATTTCTACTGTTTTAGGACCTTTTGCAGTGCATTATGTTGTATTCTCTGGATTTATCCACACAAAGAATCTTTAGGCAACAGAAACATAATGGGGGAAAAAGATAAGCAGCCAAAGAATACATAGTCATCTGCAAAACCCAGATGCTGCTCCAAAACATGGCCACCACCTTTGCTCGCTATTCACTTTGTTAGTGACAGAAATGTGTTCCCTGCAAAACAAAGAAGTAGAAATTACACACTTTTAAAAGGCAAACCCCATATAAAATACAAAAATCTCTCAAAACCATAGTTATTCTCTTACCATGAATTATCAGTCTCAGGGTGGATGGCCTGCTCATGTCTTTCTTGATGCTTCATTGCAGTTGCCTCAATAGGCTACTGGCCAACATTAACTACTAACACCTAAACAAAATTTCACATTAGTTAACTTAATGTTAATATAAGATAAGCTTTGCTCGTTAAAAATAATTTTAATTCGGTAATTCAATAATCTGACAAAATCTGCAATTATGTCATCATTGCCAATTAACATAAGAAATGGAAAATAAGGGACAATTGTGATTCTTTATCTTATTCTTGTAGAAAATAGTGTTTATTCTTGTAGAAAATAAGGGACGTTCCAAATATTTGTACTGTACCATAATGTAGGCCTAAGTTTGCCTGCAGTTAAAAAGTTCTCAGCAATATCTCAGAAATAATCACAATTGTTTTGCTTAACCTATTTATGTACAATTATTCTAAAAATAATTTTAAATGTCATACAAAAAATGTCATCGGCCTGAGTAAATTGTACCATTATAGAATTGTGACTTTACACATGTAATTGAGGAGGTGAAAATACTGTGAAATTACAAATGGCATGAAATTTGAAAATCTAACAACCGAAGGTCTATGAAACGTCAGTCAATCAAGCATTTTTTTTAAACAATGCCGCTTAAAGTTTTGATCTAAAATATTATTGCAACCATAGCCTTTGAATGAATGAAAATGCATATTTTTCAATTAAAGAAAACTTAAGAGAGTGTGGGCCGCTTCTGGTGCTTGGATTTTTACTTCAGTAATGAGGTCCAAGTTTAAGAATAGCCTACGCAAGAAGTATTTTATTTATTTATTTATTTTTTTTGTAATGCATTTTTTCCCTCTCTATTTAACAG